CGGGTGGCCGCGGGCTGCTCCCCAGCCCAGCGCCACCGCCAGCGCCAGCCCGAGCCACAGCGCCCGCACAAACTCCATCACAAAGTTGCGCTCGGTGACCGCGGCGCGAGGAGGGATCGCCAGCCGTCCGCGATCCTCGGGTCCCCCGGGTGCCCGGTCCCCTCCGGGCAGCGCACGGCACCTCGTCTTGCCCGGACCCCGCCGAGCCGCGCTTCCGCCGCCTGCGGGTCCCCAGCAGCCACTAGGGAGGAGAGGAATCACTGCCAGACCTGCTGGTGCCCTGCATGGGCAGGGCTGGGCACCCGCGCCCTGCTGCCAGCCTACCCATCCTGTAAATCTGCGGACGAGAAGGCAGGGCAGGCTCTGGGCAAGAATCCAGGGCTGTAACTGTTACTCCAACAACTAGCCCCTTTTCTCCAGGATCCTGGGGTGCCCTCCCGCCCACCCTAGGGAATGTTGCCCATTGCTCAGACAGGGAAACTGAGGCCCAAACGTGCCCCTGCTTCTAGAGAGCACTTGACCCAGTCTCCACCTACATCTGAGTTTTTGTTTTGGTGCCTATCCTGGGGCTTGAACTCAGGGCCTAGACTCTGTCCCTGAGCTTTTGCTCAAGGCTAGCACTCTACCACTTGAGCCACAGCTCCACTTCTGGCTTTTCCTGAGTAATTTATTGGAGATAAGAGTTTCACAGGCTGCCAGTGGCTCACACCTGTAATCCTACTCAGGAGGCTGAGATCTGAGGATCTCAGTTCAAAGCCAGCCCAGGCAGGAAAGTCTGTGAGACTCATCTCCAAAAAGCCACCAGAAAGCCAGAATGGCTCTGTGGTTCAAGTAGTAGAGCACTCACCTTGAGCTGAAAAGCTGAGGGACAGCGCCTAGTCCCAGAGTTCAAGCCCCACGACGGTCAATAAAAGTCTCTCAGACTATTCCTGCACGGGCTGGCCTTGAACTGCAATCCTCACATCTCAGTCTCCTGAGTAGCTAGGATTACAGGCGTGAGCCACTGGGGCCTAGTTCTTTGCGATTTGACCTGCTACCATTCAGCTCTGTGCAGAAGAGATGGGTCTGCTTGGCCACTCCTCTGTCTCAAGGACCTAGGAGCCGTTGGTGCCTGGGCTGGTAAAAGGTGCTCCATGAACACTGGCCAGTGACCTTCCCAGGCAGCCCGTCTGGAATGTTCTAGCCTAACCTCCTCGGTTGGGAGGGATCTCGCAGGGTAGCTGCAGGCCAGGCTGGAACATCAGGTTCCAATGAATGAATCTACACTTGGCTGACCTCGTCTCCTTCTGGAGCCAGTCAGTGCCTCAGAGGGAAGAGAATCACCATGGAATGAATACAAAATGAAATGTGAAGTTCTGGCCAGCAAGATGCACCAGGTCTTGGGGTCAGTACCCACAAAGGGGGCTTGTTCTAGGGGTGTGGCCACTTCTTCCAGCTACTGGGTAGGCTGGGCCCACTGGGTCTGGAGGAGGGGTTCCTGAGGTCCCCAAACAGGGGGCAGCTTGGTCCCTCAATGTCACCTCTGTGCCACCCTCAGGGAATCCTGGGTAATGATCCTTGGTATTATGGGATACAACAGGCCTGGTCTCCTCAGTTCCTGAAATCAAAAGGCTTTGAGTTGGGGACTCCATGCACTAATGCTTAATCAGCCAGTCAACATTTTTTTTTCCTGCCAGTCTTGGGGCTTGAACTCAGGGCCTGGGTGCTGTCCCTGAGCTAGCACTCTACCACTTGAGCCACAGTACCACATCTGGTTTTTTTCTGGGGCTACATGCATGGTAGGCAAGCACTTTTAACACTACACCACATTCCCAGCCCCACTTTACCACTTTGAGCCACAGCACCATTTCCAGTTTTTGGTGGTTAACTGGAGGTAAGAGTCTCACAGACTTTCCTATCCAGGCTGGCTTTGAACTGTGATGCTCAGATCTCAGCATCCTGAGTAGCTGGTATTATAGGTGTAAGCCACTGACACACAGCAACAGTAAGATTTTCTACTCTCAAGCGAACACTTTAAAATTATAAATACAGGGGCTGGGAAGGTGGCTCAGTTGTAGAGTGCTTGCCTTGCATGCATGAGGCCCTGGGTTCGATTCCTCAGCACCATATAAGCAAAAAAGAAAAAAGCCTGAAGTGGTGCTTTGGCTCAAGTGGTAGAGCGCTAGCCTTGAGCTGAAGAGCTGAGGGACAGCGCCCTGGCCCAGAGTTCAGGCCCCATGAACAGATCCAAAATAAATAAATAAAATTATAAATACAACACACATTTCCAATTTTAATTAGTTAGGTCTCTAATTTGATGGCATTAAGTACATTCACGTGGCTGTACAGCTGTTTACCATCCATCTCCAGAACTTTCCATTTCCCACACTGAAGCTCCTTCAATACTACCTCTCCTCTTGGCCAACAGAGTCCTGGTTTGTGCGGGTGCATGCACCAATAATACTGGGGCTTGAATTCAGGGCTTTGCACTCTTGCTTGGCTTTTTTGCTCAAGGATTGTGTTCTATCCACTTCCAGCTTTTTGCTGGTTAACTGGAGTCTCTTGGATTTGTCTGCCTGGGCTAACCATGATCCTCAGATCACAGCCGCCTGAGAAGCTAGGATTACAGGTATGAGTACCAGCACTCAGCTAGCATCCTACTTTGTTTCTATTTGATCCATGTGTTTAGGGACAGTGGCTAAGGCTGGTGTTTCCATCAAAGCTTTCTACTCTCCACTCCTGTCTGTCACTGACCCTCAGTGTTGCTCAGCAGGAGGGCGCATGTGGAAGAGAAGAGCCAAGCTTTTTTTTTTATTTTACTGGTGTTGGTACTTACTTCAGAACCTCCTCCTCCTCCTCCTTCCATTTATTCAAGGCAGCCACTTTACTCCTTGAGCCACAGTTCCACTTCTTGTCTTTTTGCTGGTTAAATGGAGATGGAGGCTCATGGATTTCCTGCCTGGGCTGGCTTTGTCACAATCCTTAGCCTTAGGATTACAGGTGTGAGCCACTGGTGGTGTTCAGCTTTCTGCCGTCTGCAGGCGGCCCAGCCCCCACCCTGGCAGCGTCCCTGTGGCCCGCAGAGGACAGCTGACATGGGCAAGAAGGTGCGGCGTGGCGGGCTGCATGCTAATGCCGCCTCTCCCTCATCTTGCTCCAGCCGTGTCCTCTGTGCAGGTTGCCTGTCCACAGCTGGCCACCCAGGCCTGAGGAGCCCACCTTCACCCAGCTGAGGCTGGGGTGATGCTCTGGGGACTTGCTGGCTTCTGGTGGGTGGGGGTGGGAATCCAGACTTGAGGGTGTTGGCTGCTTCCCAGGGGGGACCATGGCCACCTCATCCCAAACCTGCCAGCTCCAGAAAGAACTGGCCAGTGTCCACTGTGGGCTAGGGTCGGGGTCTCAGAACTCAGATGGAGCGAGGTGTGTGATGAGCTTAAGCCAGGCCACCTACCTCCCTGTGGCCTCCAGCCTGTGGTGGGAGGACAGACTGGGCCCAGACAATGGGGGGGGGACGACACTAAGGCACAGTGCTCTGGGGAGCAGTGGGACACCTGTCCCACTCCAGCCACTGCTCAGAGCCCCCTGTTGGGTGATGCCAATGGCCATGTACCTTGAGCCTGGGGCAGCCCCTTCCCTACTGCCGGGACCAATGGCTGGGGGGAGTGGGGGCACCCTTGGTGGTGTCCCTCCCCGTACAGATGGGGAGTCTCCCTAGGCTGTGTCCTGGTAAAGGATGCAGGGGGGGGGGCTGGGTGTACCTTTGTCTACAAGCATGAGGTCAGCGCTGGCCTGTGTTGGGTCCGGACCACACTGGCCAAGTCACACGCATTTTCTGGCTCATTCAGCAGGGCTGTCAGTGGAGACAGCTTTCTGGAAGGTTCTATGGGTATGCGGGCTAAGCAACAGGCACAGGCTGGCTGCTGGCAGTGTCCCCAGAATGTGGGGGGTGGGGGTGGGAGGGGCCCAGCCTCCTTAGGCAGAGCTGGGCAGCCAGCAGGTACCTGACAGTGCCTGACCCTGGCTGGGGCCCCCCGGGGATGTGCAGGGCAGCACCCCACCCTCGTGGCATGCCCAGGCGTTGGCCCAGGGCAGTCCAGCCGGCGAGGGCTGAGCGCAGCACGGGCACGGTGCGGACACAGTGCACAAGCGGGGCTCAGTCCAGTTTTTTTGTTAAAGGCAAACAAACACCAAAGGGAGTAAAAAAATATAAAACAAAATGCTAAAGTGGCCAGTGGGAGCCAGCCTGTCCGGGAGCATTCTGGTGGCCAAGTCCAGGAGCTGCGGCTCTAGTCGCAGGGGGGAGATGGGGGGGAGATGGCGAGGCTCAGGGCCGCATCGTGCAGGGTCTCCCCTCTGGCCTCACTTGGCCCTGCGCGTGGTGGTGATGACACGCGTGGAAAAGTCGAAGAGGTCCCTGTTGATTTTGCGCAGGTTGCACACCTCGTCCTCCAGCTCTGTCACATGTAGCTGCAGCCGGTCCTGACCACCCAGCACATTCTAGGGAGATGCAAGGGTCAGAGGTCAGCAGGTGACTTCCCCAGCCACAAGCAGCACCAGGAACCCCAGCTACCAGCCACCCAGGGCGGCACCTACCTTCTCCACAGAGTCGCTGAGCACGGCCTGCAGCTGCTCTAGCCGCTCCTGGTAGCTGAGCTCGGAGCCCTGCAAGACAAGGCAGAGCACGCCCGGGCGTGGGGACTGGGCCAGCGCCCACGGTGAGCGCGGGACACACCACCCCAGAGCTGCCAGCGACTCAGTCGGGGAGCCCCTCCTGTGGTGGCAGCTGTCAGACTCGACAGTGAGGCATTCCCAGCTCTGCAATGCGTCTACTGCCCAGAGTCCCGGGCCAGCGCTGCTCCCACGGTGGAAATACCACACCTGAGGCAGGCCTTAAGTAGCTCGTGGTCTGGGGGCCAGTGGCTCACGCTTATAATCCATGCTACTCAGTAGCTGAGATCTGAGGATCCTGGTTTGAAGTCTGTGAAGGCTTATCTCCAACAAACCAGCAGAAAGCTCAAAGTAGAGCTATGGCTCAAATGGTAGAGCACCAGTCTTTTGTTTTGTTTTTTGTCAGTCATGGGGCTTGAACTCTGGGCCTGGGCGCTGTCCCTCAGCTCTTCAGCTCAAGGAGAGCTCTCTACCATTTGAACCACAGCACCACTTCCAGCTTTCTGGTGGTTCATTGGAGATTAGAGTCTCATGGACTTTCCTGCCCTGGTTGGCTTTGAACTGCCATCCTCAGACCTCGGTCTCCTGAGTAGCTAGGATTACAGGCGTGAGCCACTGGTGCCCAGAGCACCAGTCTTGAGATAAGTGGCCCAGCATACTCTCTCCTCTCTTCCTCTCTCTCTCTCTGAAAGCCAGAACCAATAGACACTGGAGCAGTAGGTGGGGCGAGGCCGCCATCTTCAGAGCAGCCCTGGCTGTTGGATGCACAGACACAGGGAATGCTCCATTAGCCTTGACCCCAACTGGCCCTTATGGAACCCTACAATGGTAAATGCAGGTGGCTTTTGTGTGGCAGGCCCTGCCCTGGACAGACAGGTGGGTGTCCAACTGGATGGCAAGAGGCCAGGGAAGGACGGCGGAAGATGTGACCGCACACCACACCTTGCAGGACACCTTGCTGCGGTGGCTTGTAGGCACAGCTGAAATTTCTGGCATCTTTTGCTCCTGCACAAGTCTCTGGCATTTTTCTGCCTCAGGCTGGCATTCTACCTCTTTAGCGACAGCTCTAGTTCTGGCTTTTTGGTAGTGAATTGGAGAGAGTTTCATGGACTTGTCTGCCCACACTGGCTTCTAACTGCAATGCTCTCATCTCAGCCTCCTGAGTAGCTAAGGGTACAGCCGTGAGCCACCAGCACCTGGCCCTTCAGGGTGTTTGACTTTACCCGAGTTAGGCGAGGCCCCAGGCTCCCTCAGGGAGGACAGAGATAGCAGCTGCACTACCACTGATAGAATCAATTTGTATCTTGGGTAAGAGCTGCGTAGGGAGATGTGCCAAGTGCTCCAGAGCGCGGGGGACAGAGGGCGTCTGGGCTGGTGAGGACGCCGCTGAAGGGCAGCAGGAGACTGCACAGGAAGTACTGTCTGCCTTCGGGACCCTGGGGCTGCCCTTGGGGAGCAAAGGTTCTGGACGACTGGCAGTCCCCACGCCCAGCAGGACGGGCACCGCAGGTGCGAGGCGAGGTGCGGCAGGAGGGACGCACCTGCTGGTGGAGACCCAGGCGCAGAGTGAGGCCCCCGCGGCGCAGCTCGTCGCCATGCTCGGCGCCCAGCAGGTGCTTATTGAAGTGGGGCAGCGGCAGGCTGGGCCGGAAGTCGGAGCTCAGCATACTGATCGGGGCCAGCATGATGGTCGCATTGGTCACAGGGCCTGCAAGACACGGCAGTCAGCTGCTCTCACGGGCCAGCCCACCCTGCCTGTGCTTGAGTTGGTCTGTTGGTCCCTTCTGTAGACTCCCCACCCCGCCCTGGGATAGGTGCGGGCCACATTTGGACCTCCGTCCCCTGCCCCCACCCGTCCCCCTGCTACACGCTGGGACAGGCGCGGGCCCCGCGCTCACCGCCCACCTTTGTGGGTGACGGTGCGGATGCACTGCTTGCTGGGCACATCCCACAGCCGCACCGTCTCGTCGTGGGAGCCGGAGAGCAGCACGCTGCCGTCCATGGACACCGACAGGCACGTCACCTGGTTCCTGCGGCAGGGGGAGATGGCACTGGCCTCACTTGGGCATGGAAGGTGCCAGCTCTGCCCCAGGCCTCCCGGAGCCCGTTCCCGCCTTACCTGTGGCCTCTGAAGATCTTCCCAGAGTCTTGGTCCGGTGGGAAGCTCCGCTCCCTCTGTCCAGGCTGGGGGGCCAAGAGGGAGTTGAGTGCTGGGGAAGCAGCCCCCTGGCTGGGCTCCCCGCCCCGCACGCCCACCCCCACCCCGCGGCTTCCCACGGCCACTCACCCAGGAGCAGAGGTCCACCTGGAAGATGGACCCGTCGGTGCCACCACAGAACATGTGGTACTCAGCCAGGTCCATGGTCACAGCCATGATGCCTACGTCAAACAGGACGGACAGCAGCATCTCACCGGAGGAGAGCTCCCACAGCTGGGGGGAGAGGGGACGGGAGAGCTGGACACAGGCCCACACTGTGGGCCATGGTGGGGTTAGGGCTGGGCACTGGGCGGGGGGGGGGGGGGGGGGACGGCAGAGACCTGAGGTGCCTGGCCTTGAGCCTGGCTCAAGCCTGGTTCTCCCTAGGTGACCTCTATCAAGACCAAGGGCAGCCCTGCCCTGCCCCGCCCCCTGCGCACCGGGCTGCGAGCTGGCTGAGTGGGAATTTCCAGCCGACAGGCCCCGGACGTCCTTGGGCTCAAGCCGCAGGGATTACAGGCTGTCTGGAAGCCTGGCACCCAGGGGAAGAGGTGATCCACTGGCTCCCGCCTGCCAAGAGTGCCCTGCGGAGCTGCTGGCTCAGACCTGGTTGGGGCGGGGCTACCTTCACTGTCTGGTCCAGCGAGGCGGTGGCCACGCGGGCCAGCGGGCCCCCGAAGCCACAGTGCAGGTCTGTGATGGGGAGTGTGTGACGAGACCAGACGTGCCGAGGGGCCACGATCCTGGAGGGGTCCATCTGTAGCACACTGGGTGGGGAGGGTGGCAGTGGACCATTGGTGGGGGGGCCTCCACATGTGGGGTACAGACCCGCCCCACTGCCCCTGACTGGGACCCGCACGCAGCAGGCTCACCATGACCACACACCCACCCGGACACAACCTTTCCTGCCCCAGGGCCTTGGCACAGTCTTCCCTCAGCTGGACTGGCGCTACCTGCAGAGGCTCCAGGCCAGCACCAGGCAGTCCTTGCCCCCAGAGAGGAAATAGCTGCTGTCGCCGGTGAACTGCAGGCAGGAGACGTCCTGGTAGTGGCGGCTCAGGATGACCAGGAGGTTCCCAGTGGAGACCTGGAGGGGCGGGGGCACAGGGTTGGGGAGGAGTGGATCCCAGCTGCCACCACCCCACAGGTGGGGGCACTGCTTCAGAAGCCCTCGCGTCCAAGGCCCCAGGGGGTCAACACACTGGAGTGAGTCCCCAGCTTGAGCTATGGTGGCAGCTATGGCTTCTGGCTGTACTGCTGTCTAGCACTCCACTCTGTCCCTGGCTACAGAACGGGCCCAGGAATGGGGTGACCCTGCGATGCTTTCCCACAACCCTGCTGCCACTGAACACCAGCCCTGGCCCCACAGACCCCTAAGGCTGCACTCAGGACCTGTGGATGGCTCCTCGGCATCTTTGTAGGAAGCTATCATGGGACAGGGAGGCGGCAGCTGCAGGGGCTGGGGGGTAGGGTGCCCCGCGCAGGGCCTGGGGAACTGGCTCAAGCCCCGCTGGGGCCAGTGTGTCAGCCCAAAGAGGCTGAGAATACCCTGAACAACACCTAGGAGGCGTCAGGGCTAGCGGGGATGCTGCTCTTGGCTGTGCTGTGCCCCGCAAAGTATACTCAAGTCCTGTTCCCCAGGACCTGTGCATGTGACCTTGTTTAAAACTAGGTAGAATGCCAGGCTCACACTTGTAATCCTAGCTATTCAGGAGGCTGAGATCTGAGGATCACGGTTCAAAGCCAGCCTGGGCAGGAAAGTCTATGAGACTCTTTTTTTTTGGTTGGTCCTGGGGCTTGAACTCTGGGCTTGGGCGCTGTACCTCAGCTCTTCAGCTCAAGATGGGCGCTCTACCGCTTGAGACACAGCGCCACTTCTGGTTTTTGAGTTGGAGATCAGAGTCTCACAGACTTTCCTGCCCGGGCTGGCTTTGAACCTCGATCCTCAGATCTCAGCCTCCTGAGTAGCTAGGATTACAGGTGTGAGCCACTGGCGCCCAGCTTGTGAGACTCTTATCTCCAATGAACCACCAGAAAACTGGAAGTGGCACTGTGGTTCAAATGGTAGAGCGCTAGCCTTGAGCTAAAGAGCTGAAGGACAGCGCCCAGACCCAGATTTCAAGCCCCAAGACCTAAAAAAACAAAACAAAACAAACAACAACAACAAACCTAGGAAGGGCAGGGCTGGGTCTTGGTGGTGAGCACTTGTCTGGCATGGCCCTGAGTTCCAGTTCTAGCAGTGAGGAATGGGAAAAAGGGAAAAAGAAAATAAGCCTGGTCTATGCAGAGGGGACCAAGTTAAGATAAAGTCACGTGGCAGTATTCCAGTATTCTTATAAAGAGATGGAATGCTGGGTGCTGGTGGTTCACGCCTGTAATCCTAGCTACTCAGGAGGCTGAGATCTGAGGATCATGGTTCCATGCCAGACCAGGTAGGAAAGTCTGTAAGATTCTTATCTCCAATTAAATCGTAGAAAAAGCCAGAAGTGGAGCTGTGGCTCAAGTGGTAGAGTACTAGCCTTGAGCAAAAAGAGTTCAGGCACAGTGCCTAGGCCCTGAGTTCAAGTCCCAGGACTGGCACATACCCAATACTAGTATATGCAGAAACACCAAAATAGGAGGGAGGGAGAGGGAGGGAGGGAGGGAGGGAGAGGGAGAGAGAGGGAGAGAGAGAGAGAGAAAGAGAGAGAGAGAGAAAGAAGGGAGGAGGAAAGCTGACACACAGGGAAGGAGGCCATGGAAGGCTGGAAGACGCCCTTTGCTAGCATGGGAAACACTGTCCACACCTGCAGTTTAGGCTTCTGGGCCTCAGGCCTGAGGTGTCTGCTTGTGTGCTTTGTGGTGGTAGATGGAGCCTCACCCCTTCTTGGGCTTCAGTCTCCCCACCTGCATGACAGGCTGACCCAGGTGCGTAGAGGGTTAAATGGCATAATCAGCACCACTAAACTGACACCTCCAGGGAACCATCAAACTTCCTGGAGTTTGGGCTGGGCTGGACTGAGTAACTGCCACACCTCCAGGGATGCCCTGGTCCTCTGGAGCCAGTGTGAAGGGCAGATCTGACAAGCCTGGGCTGCCAGAGCCCAGCTGCCCACCCCTCAGCCTGCTCTAAGATCGCTAGGCCCCTGATGACCTCCTCCCTGCTCCTCACCCACTCCTGGTTACCAGGCCGCAGACCCACTGGGGCGCCCCCTGGTGGTCACTGCACAGAAACCCTCAGAGGCGAAGGAGCCGGGTTGGGCAGCCACAAATCTGCGGCCCTTTGCCAGGCAGCCAGCCACTCAGCAAGAAGGGGGGTTCTCACATACCAAGTGCTGAGCCACCGAATCACTACCACACTGGCCACCACACTTGAGGCTCCCAGCAATCTGGATGAAGTTGCCTACCTGGTGGGCAAACCAAGTCCTACTGTTTAGGTTTCCTCCCCGGTATCCCAAAGAGACTTTCACCCCATTGAAGAGTGAGATCAGACGGCCCGGCATTGCGATAGCTCTGGATGGCGTGGTGACCCATAGGGGACGCAAGGATGGGCCTAGGAGGGGCAGCAATGTGGTTGCTGACCACCCCAAGCCCTTGGCTGTCTGTACCACGCCATCTGTGTGGGGTGCGGGGGGAGAAAGCTAGGCCTCCCCGGCACAAAGCAGGCCAAGTCCTGTGATGGGACATGGCCACACAAGCATGGTTAGAACTGCCAGGGGTGCTCCCTAAGAGCACAGTATAAAACACTGATCCCTGGCCCTCTGGGAAAACCCTGGCCCTGTGGGATAGGTTCCAGGCTATATGATAGGGGGGCAAGGGGAGGTGTCACCTGCTTTCTCCATCAATGAGAAAAGGGGCAAGAGGGACTGAGCTATATCATCTTGAATCTTATCCCCCCCCCACGGCTTTTATTTATTTTTTGCCAGTCCTGGGTCTTGAACTTGGCCTGGGCACTGAGCTTCTTTTGCTCAAGGCTAGTACTCTATCACTTGAGCCACAGCATCACTTCTGTTTTTTTTTTTTTTTTTCTGTTTATGTGGTACTGAGAAATCAAACCCAGGGCTTCACGCATGCTAGGCAAGCACTACTAAACTACATTCCCAGCCCCAGCTTTTCATTTTTTGTGTGTGTACTAGTTCTGAGTCTTGAATTCTGGGCCTGGGTGTTATCACTTTGCTTTCTGCTCAAGGTTGAGACTCTACCACTTGAGCCACAGCTTCAGTCATGGCTTTTTGGTGGTTAAAGTCTCATGGACTTTTCTGCCTAGGCTGGCTTAGAACCTTGATCTTCAGATCTCAGCCCCCCTAAGTGGCTAGGATTACAGGTGTGAGCCACTGGTGCCTGCCTTCCACCCCCATGTTCCTGGGGATAGAATTTAGTACCTTGAAGATGCTAAGCAAGTGCTCTGCCACTGAGTTGTATCTAAGCTCTTTTTGTCAGTCGTGGGGCTTGAACTCTGGGACTGGGTGCTGTCCCTGGGCTCTTCAGCTCAAGGCGAGCACTCTACCATTTGAGCCATAGTGCCACTTCTGGTTTTCTGGTGGTTAATTGAAGAGTCTCACAGACTTTCCTGCCTGGGCTGGCTTTAACTGTGGTCCTCAGATTTCAGCCTCCTGAATAGCTAGGATTATAAGGCGTGAGCTTGGTTGTACCCAAGCTCTTCTGTGTAATTTAAGGCAGAACTCCAGGTGCTGCTTTTTGGAGGGAGCCTTAGGAGTGGGGCTGCACTGCAATCTGCCTGGGAGGGCTGCTGGTATAATTAGGATCCTTTAGAGATAAGGTGGCTTTGAGACTGAAGGACAAGCAAGACACTGGAGCCACCAGGATCTGCCTCCCCCAGCCTGGAATATGATCCTCACGGTCACTCCACAGACAGGCGTGCTCCATCTTCTTACCTCCCAGAGGTATATACTTTCTGCAATTCCTGCCACCACGTAGAGACCATTGGGTGCCGTAGTCAGACAGGTGACAGGCCCAGGACACATGATCTTCTGCTGGAGCTGGTCCTAGGGACACACAACAAGACCAGTGAGCTGATCAGAGGGGTTACTGGGGGGAATAAAGTCCATGAAGGCAGATCTTGGAGTAAGGGTGGAAAGGTAGTTTCCTTTGGAAGTGAGGGGCAGGTCAGAGAGATGGCTAACAGGTTTGAGACCCAAGCCCTTGTAATGTGGTTCTGAGTCTCCTCTCCTCTCTGTGACATGGAAAAACTTCAAGCAGGCAGCTCCAGAGCACAGCACTTGCTAGAAGAGATGGCAGAGGGCAGAAGTAGCAGTCGGGGCTTCAGAGGCTGTGTTTTGGGGGCTGCTGATAGAGAGGGCACAGTAAGCCGTATGGTGAAAGTGGCTTTTGGGGGGAAGACAGATGCATGTCTTCGGGCTATCCGTTCACGAGACTCTCCCCCAGACTTCCAACCTCTCCTCTCCAAGAAACTATGAACCCCAAGTAGTGTGCTGGTGGCCCAGGCCTATCACCCTAGCTATTCAGGAAGCTGAGATTGGGAGGATTATAGTTTTAAGCCAGCCCAAGAAGAAAAGCTCACAAGACTCAACTTCCAAACACCCAGCCAAAAGTTGGGCTGGGGGCTCCGAGTTCAAACCCCAGAACCGTAAAAACAAACCGAACCCCAAAGAGCCCCAACCTCCGCCTGTAATCAAACTTAGCGCTCCCGAGCCTACACATGCGCAGTTCCTCTAAGGACCCCAGCTGGCTGTCCCTTGGCACAGCCAACTCTCCACAGCCCAACCACCAACCCAGCTCTGCGCATGCGCACAATGCGAAGCCCCCCCCCCGAATCGCGCATGCGTAGTCTCATAACCGCAACAATTATTTTTTTTCTTCTCCTCTCCCAGCCCCCCAGAGCCGCGACCCCCAAAACGGACGCACACGGTCCCCTGAACGCCTCCTGGCTCTTCTCGCGAGCCGAGTGCACCCCTCGATGCCCGGGCCCCGCGTCGCACCTTGCGCTGCACCTCCCAGGCGCTGATGTAGTTCTTGCCCAGCTGTGCCGCCAGCAAGTACTCGCCATTAAGTAGAGCGAGGCCCCGGGGCCCGGCCTGGCCGCCGCGGTAGGTGAGCAGGTTGGCGCCCGAATGCAGCTCCCACACAATGCAGCTCCATAACTGCGCCGCCGTGTCCGTACATACAGCCACCTCCATGGGGGCTGCCATGTTGTCGGCCGGTCCCGCCCCGGAAGCGCGTCACCACACCAGTGGCTCTGGCCACGCCTATCACGTTGGGGTAGAGAGGCGGTAACGAGTTTGGGGGCGGGGCTGGAGGACTTGCGCGTGCGCACAAGCCTTGGCGGGGATGGGGGGGTGGGGTGGGGGAAACTTTTTTTTTTTTTTTAACCTTTTCCTATAGCCCTGACTCGAGGGTTGAGGGATTAAGTAGGGATCTTGGATTGTGACTTCTTCCGAGGCCTAGTGTCTCCGGCCATTTGTTTAGTAGGGCCAGAGCCTGACTTGACCATTGGCCATTTCCTTTGAACTAGTGACCCAACTTCTCAGCCCCCTTGGGGCCTGAATTCTGGGCCTGGGCGCTGGGCCTCAGCTCTTCAACGCAAGGCTGAAGTTCCAATCCTGGTGCTTGAACTCAGGGTCTGAGCACTGAGCTTTTACACTCTTAACATTCTTCCACTTGAACCATAGCTCCATTTCTGGCTTTTTGGAGATAAGAGTCTCATGAACTTTCCTGCCCCAGCTGGCTTTGAACCTCGATTTTCAGATCCCAGCTCCTGAGTAGCTGGAATTATAGGCGTGAGCCTGACCACCATCCAGCATATTCTGAGATTATTTTTCAGTCTTTTTTTTTTTTTTTGGTCGGTTGTGGGGCTTGAACTCGGCCTGGGCGCTATCCCTCAGCTCTTCAGCTCAAGGAGAGTACTCTACCTCTTGAGCTACAGTGCCACTTGCCGGGGCTGGCTTTGAACTGCAATCCTCAGATCTTAGCCTCCTAAGTAGCTAGGGTTACAGGCATTAGCCACCGGCACCCGGCTTATTTTTCAGTCTTTTTGAATATGCAAATATTAAGAACTGATCTTTACCTTATAGAATGCAAAAGCCCAAATGAGACATGCATAAAACAGACTATACAGCTAACATGTCTACAGAGTGAATTGGGATTAAATGATTATTTGTTGATCCAAGTCTGCCTCCTCTTTGACCTTGCTTCTTTAGAGCTATACAATTCAGATTTCGACTTGGGCCACTTGGTTCAAAGTCATAGCTCCATCTGAACAGCTCTTCACCTCAGTCACAGCTGCCAGCTGTGTTTTAAAAGACAATTAAAAAAAAAAAAGAGGCTGGGTGCCAGTGGCTCATGCCTGTAATCTTAACCACTTAGGAGGTTGAGATCTGAGGATCGCAGTTGTGGTTCAAAGCCAGCTCAGGCAGGAAAGTTTGTGAGACTCTAATCTCCAATTAACCATCAGAAAATTGGGGAAGTGGCACTGTGGCTGAAGTGGTAGAGCACTCACCTTGAGCTGAAGAGCTCAGGGACAGTGCCCAGGCCCAGAGTTCAAGCCCCATGACAGAAAGGAAGAAAGGAAGAAAGAAAGAAAGGAAGGAAGGAAGGAAGGAAGGAAGGAAGGAAGGAAAGAAGAGTCTCAGTAGCCATGCTTTGAAAAAGGAAAATTCATTCATTAGTCCAGTCTCCAGTTAGCGGTCCCAGGCCCTGTGCACAGCAACCCACCTCAATGCTGGACATGGGATGCAGCCTCCAGTCTCACTCTTCCAGCCCTTGTGATCAAGCTGCCTGCAATCCACATAGCTATGCAATCACAACAGTGATGGGGTGTCATGACCCCAGATCAGAGGGGATAATGGAGAAAGTTCCTGGCCAAAGGACCAGTTTTGGAACCCAGAGTGCAGCCCGATGCTGCCACCAGGTGGCAGGTGTGAGCCATCCCTAGAATGGTGGAACATGGCCCCAGAACTCAGAGAAAGCTAGCTCCATAGGACCAGTCTGGGGTGGCATCTTCTGAGCCCTGAGCCGGGGACCCAGGAGAGCTTGGTGCTGAGCAGGGCACATATGAAGGCCCTGGGAGGCCTGGGAGACAGGACTATGGGGTGGGGCAGGGAGGAGGCTCTGCAGGGCTTTGAGTGCAGGCTGGATCTTATTTTAAATTCATCCTGAAAGGAAATGTAACTCAAGATGGTTTATGCTTCCAGTTCCTTTAATGTTTTGGAAATTTTTGTTTGCTTACTTTTTTTTTTCCTTGTATAGAGAAAAGCTCAGAGCTTCCCAGGCTAGGATGACCTCAATCTTGCAATCCTCCTGCTTCAGCCTCCAAAGAGTGCTGGGATGATGGTGAGCAATACTACACCGGGCTTCTAATGTTTCTATAGTATGAAGAAGAAAGAGAAATCAGCCAGGTGCCAGCTCTCACACCTCTAATCCTAGCTACTCAGGAGGCTGAGATCTATGAGGACTGGGGCAGCAAAGTCTGAGACTCATGTCCAATTAATTACCAAAAAGCCAAAGTAGAGCCGTGGCTCAAGTAGTAGAGCACTAATCTTGCTTTTTTTTTTTTTCCCCTCCCCCTCCTCCTCTCTTGCTTTTTTTTTTGTCAGTTGTGGGGCCTGAACTCTGGGCCTGGGCACTGTCCCTCAGCTCTTCAGCTCAAGGTGAGCACTCTACCACTTCCAGCTTTATCTGCTTATGTGGTGCTGAGGAATCAAACCTAGGGCCTCATGCATGCAAGGCATACCACTGAGCCACCTTCCCAGCGCCTAGAGCACTAATCTTGAATGAAAAAGCCATGAGCTGAGCACTAATGGCTCAGACTTATAGTCCTAGCTACTAGCTACTCTGGAGGCTAAGATCTGAGGATCTTGTTGAGGGCCAATCTAGGCAGGAAAGTCTGAGCCTCTTTTTTTTTTTCAGTCAGGGGGCTTGAACTCTGGGCCTGGGCGCTGCCCCTCAGCTCTTCAGCTCAAGGCTAGTGCTCTACCACTTGAGCCACAGTGCCACTTCCGGTTTTCTGGTGGTTTATTGGAGATAAGAGTCTCACGGACTTTCCTGCCCGGGGTTGGCTTTGAACCGAGATCCTCAGATCTCAGCCTCCTGAGTAGCTGGGATTACAGACGTGAGCCACCAGCACTGGGCTTGTAAGACTCTTATCTCCAATTAACCATCAGAAAACCGGAAGTGGAGCTGTGGCTCATGTGATAGAATGTTAGCCTTGAGGGAAAGCGTTCAGGGACAGTACCAAGACCCTGAGTTCAAGTCCCATAACTGACCAAGAAAAAAAAAAACGCTAAAGGGCAGAGCTGGGAATGTGGCTTAGTGATAGAGTGCTTGCCTAGCATGCATTAATGCCTGAGTTCAATTCCTCAATACCACATAAACAGAAAAAGCTGGAAGTGGTGCTGTGGCTCAAGTGGTAGAGTGCTAGCCAGAGCAAAAGAAACTCAGGGAGAGTACCAGGCCCTGAGTTCAGGTCCCAGGAGTGGCAAGAAAAAAAAAAGCTAAAAAACAGCATCCAAGCCCTGAGGTCAAGCCTCAGTACTGGCCCACATGTGGTTTTTGTACCTGGCAGCTCAGATACTCATTCTGGCCCCCACCTCCTCCAGGGTAGGGCTGGAAGAGTTTGGGCTGGAGGCCCTCAACTGCATCCCCAGCACGTGGCCGGGGTACCTTAATGCTAATGTGGGTTTTCAAGCTTCAGCTGAGCCCTATAGCTAACTTTGCCTTGGTGGTACAGGAGAATCACTGAGCAGCTTGGGACCTCAGTTTCCCCAACTACATTTAGGGGATACTGTGGCTGCCTAGGCCAGGCTGGAGGAAAAGATTCTGTGGATGATGAGGTTCTGGCCTAGGTCTGCATACCCACTTATCAGGGGAAGTCTGGCCTGGAAGTTTCTAGAATCTAGGTCCCAGCCTGGGTGGGGTGAAGATCAACTAGTTGTAGACCCTCATATACCCCTGGCAACCTAAGCGGGGCTGTGTCTCCTCCCCTTTAGCCTCTAGCTGCAGTCCAGCTCAGGGGCCAGTGTCCCTCTGTCCTCTCCCTGGGGCTGGCTGGCCTGCCGGGGAGGTCAGAGGTCAGCTCCCCTCCCCACAGCCCTTGGAATGAGGACAGGCCAGTTATGCTAGCGCCTCGCAGGACAAAAGCCATACTTGGGGGAGCCTGGGACCACCCAGTTGACAGCCCTCAGCACACTAGTGGGATCTGAGACAAGGGGGGAAACAGGACGAAGGGAAACTGAGGCACAAAGTGGTTGACACCTCCCTGCCCCCCTCCCTAGACACTAAAAGGCCTAGTCAGACCAGGCTGGGGGCACAGAAAGCTGGAGAGGTGGGATCTGGGTCCTCCTGTGTCCCGCAGGGGCTGTGAAACCTCAAGGCTCCTCAGCAACCTCTCTGAGACATGTTGGCTCGGAATGAAGACAAAGACTTGGGACTGGACCATCTGGTTTACCAGGAAGGGGATTTTTTTTCTTTTTTTTTTCTTCTCTTCCCCCAAGGGGGCAGGTGAGCGGTGGGTGAGCCCCCCTCCTGTGTTTGTGTATTTCTGGCCAGAGTGGTTAGAGGCGGTGGACAAAGGGCCACCTGTGACAGGGGAGGGCATGCAGGTGGCAGTGCAGTGATTTGTTTTTCTCTTTTCTCCAACGGCCTAGGAGAAACCAGCTCAGGCTAGCCATGGCCGGAGTGGGGCTGCTGGGCTGAGCGCCAAGGTGGCCATGGCCTGGGGCCTCCCCTAGCTGTCCTACCTGGCTACCATGACCTTGAGCCTGTCCATCTGAGTCCCTAGCATGGAAAACAGTGTGTGTGTGTGAGGGGGAGGGGGAAAGACAACCAGAAAACCACCCCAACATTTGCAGTCCAATCTCTGGTTTGTGTGTGCAGGCTGAGAGTGGAGTCCACCAGCCACCTGGGCCCTCAGTCCTGTTTCCATGGGACTGGCTAGTAATAAAAGGTCAAGTGAATGCTGGGTGCTGGTGGCTCATGCCTATAATCCTTGCCACTCAGGAGGCTGGGATCTGAGGATCACAATTCGAAGCCAGCCTAGGCAGGAAAGTCCATGAGACTCATTATCTCCAACAAAGTCCTCAGAAAAAGCCATAAGTAAAGCTGTGGCTTAAATGGAGGCTAATGCCTGTAATTCTAACTTCTCAGGAGGCAGAGATCTGTGGATTGTGGTTCAAAGCTTGCCTAGGCAGGAAAGTCAGTGAGACTTACTTCCCATTAACCACCCAAAAGCTGGAAGTGGAGCTGTGGCTCAAGTGGTAGAGCATCAGCCATGCAAAAGCTCAGGGATGGCTCCTAGGTGCTGAGGATCTGTGTGTACACACAAGTGCGCGTGCACACACACACACACACACACTCTCTCTCTCTCAGTTGTCAGGAGGGGAAAGGATGCCCCCTGGGAACTGGGGGCCTCCTCTGGGCATAGTGCTGATCTTGGGGTGAGGTGGGAAGCTTGCTCCACAGGGAGGCGGCTATCACTGGCTGATCTGAGCAGGAGCAAAAGGTCACGTGGATCTGGCCCAGAAGATGATGACATATCTGTCACACAGGCCTAAAGCTCCCTTCCAAAGAAGAGGAAGGCAGGGAGGCGATTTCAGGCATGAAGAATAAGCTGTGCAAAGGCCCGGCGGCAGCACCAGACCGCCGAGGAGTGATGGGATCCCCACAGTCTTACAGAGGTGTTATGGGATGTCTGAGGACAGGAGATGTGGCCCTCATCTGGTACCCTTCAACCCCGAAAATGGGGACCAGGTGTCCAGTGAGACACTGTAGGCCACAGGACCAGGAGGGGAATCACCTCAGCTATAGTTTATTGCAGACTTTGTGGACATTTGGAACTAGTGGGGTGTCCTAGATCCTGAAGGGTTCGGAGCAGTACCCCCAGCCTCCATACTCCCCGCTTGCAACCTAGCTCAGAGTCCCCTGAGATGCATGTTTTGCCAGGGGATGGGGAGAGTATTTCCCTCCTGGAATTAACAGCTAGGTGAGAACCCCCTCTCCCAGCATCATGGGGCCAAGGTACCCATATTCACTGTCCCCCCCCCAAAAATAGCTCAAGACACAGTCTGTTAAAGTCAGAAGTGTTTTGTCTGGTTTTAATATCTCATCAGCTTTACAGGGGTTACAATTGTCTTAAATATTTCTGAGCTTTAAATACAATCTGAATAATAATGTTATAAAATGTAAACTTTCAGTGTTTTTTTTTTAATTTCAAAATCGCACCTTTTTTTTTTTTTTTGGTCTTTTCAATTTTTTTTCCTTTTTTTTTTTTTCCTTTTAATACCTGAATGTTCTGGACAACTGAAGTTGTAGCAGCCTCCCTGTCTTTCCACAGGGGGACTGCAGGCCCAGCCGGAGGTAGAGAGCAGTTTATAACCTTTATTTTCTTTAAGTTTATTTTTCTTTTACCTGAGTTTGGGCGTGGTTGGCACGCCTTCTGACAAAGCCCCAGAGAAACTGAAATGTCACAGATTTGAAAATGAAACAAGGCTGTTTTCATGTTTGCCAAAAGAGGGGGGGGGGATGCAAAAGCCAAAATTGGGGGGAGGGAGGAACAAAGCCGATAGAATAAAAGGGGGGGGAATGTCACTATACAGAAAATGCACAACTCAAAAAAATAGACAAAAACAAACCTAACCCAGCCATCCCCACAGCTGGTCAGCCAGCTCCATGACAGCAGAAAGGGCCACAAGGAACATTCTGGAAACAGCCTATGCAAGGATAGCGGTCCCACCCTCCATCCCCCCTTTCCACAGCCTCTCTTTGCCCTGAGTTTGGAGTTCCCCTCTATCACCTTTCAAACTCCATGCATGGGGCCAGATGTAGGGTGCACAGGCCCGGCCTCTCCCATCATTTGCATAAAGGGGTGCTGACGACACCCCCACCCCAATATGCCCCTTTCTAGGGTAGGTGGTGGATGGGAGATGGCTGGGGTAGGAGACCCACTGGGGAGGCCTCTGGAAGAGCCCAGGGGTCACACAGACCCCCTTCATTTCCCAAGCTGCAAAGCCTTCCCCCTCAGCCATCTGTCCCACACTATGACCCACAGGCTCAGGGTCCCCAGTTAGGGGTCCAGTTCTGCCCAGGCAGGATCCCCCCCATCGATCCCTCCAAGACCACCTGGGAGATATCCAACTGCCATGAGGGGGGATGGAGATGGAGGTGACTCTTGGTCCCTCTTGGGGAGGGGGAGGGGGGAAGATGAGCTGGAGGATGGGAGAGGAGGCAGGCAGAACATGGTATTGTTTTTTGGCATCAAAAAAGACCTGAGGTAGACAGAAATGTGCAGAGGACATTCCTTCCCCCCCCCCCCAGGTGCCCCAGCCTGGCAGGTACAGGGACAGCCCGGCTGAAACCCTGGGCGGGAAGGACAGAGCCTGGCCACACAACCAAATGCAGCCAGAATTCAGACAGCTCTGAAGGGAAAGGACTGAGTCTGGGGAATCAAAAGTACCCATTTTCCAGGAATGATTGTGCTGCGAACACACCCGCCTTCCCCCCACCCCCACCTCCCTACATGGGGTAGGGCAGAAACTTCCAGAAAGAAAAGTCAAAAAGAGGCTACCATCCCCTCCCCTGGAAATGAAGGGAGGGGAGTGTATTGATCACCCTGAGATTTAGAAAGAAATAAGGGCCCCTGCCCCTTCCCTGGTAAGGGGTGTGGGGGGGAACTAAGAAAGTTGGGCTGGGGGCATGGAGGCCCCGCCCCCACCCCAGAGAAAGGGGCTCTGAGGGCTCCAAACTCCTGCAGCAGCTTCTCCTTACGCCAGCCTCCCAGGGGCCCCATTAAGACATCTTGGGGCCACCAGGGACAGCCAGGTTGACTCCCTGCCACAAGACACCAAAACCCAGTGCAGCCATCACGTGCTGCTTTGCTGGCACCAGAGGACCATGGCAGAGACACTGGCAGAAAGACCCAGCAGCTCCTGGCGGGGTCAGGGGCCTTCTGTCCCAGGCTGCTGCCACTTTTAATGACTGTCCCCTAGGCCACAGGAGCTGGCCACCCCATGCTAAAAAGGGGCAGGGAGAAGACAGAAAGAGAAAGGAGATGAGAAAGTAGGGGTGCCGGCAAGGCTGAGGCCCTAAAATCCTCACCCTGAGCTAGGCCTAGCTTCACACAATCACCCCCATATTGATAGTCCCCCAAAGCAGCCCAGCAGATCATCCCTGAGACAGGCAAGGCCCTCCCTCACACACCCTTTTCCAGAACTTTCTACGTCCAACACCCAGGTGTGCAGACAGTGCTGGCAGGCAAGACATGGAGATCGCCACAGCCCCCTGAGTGCCAAGATCCAGTGTTCCAGGCTTGCCAGCCACACAGGGACCCCCCCACACACACCCAAAATAACCCAAGCCAGTTACTGGAAAGATTAAACAGGTTATTACTGGGTTGGATTTTTTTGCCTTTTTGTTTCCTTTTCCAAGACCATATTCCCTGAAAGAACACAAATATATAGATATAGAACTATATAGATATCCTAAGTCTGAAACTTCCCCACCCCCCAGAATAAAATAAGTATTTACAAAACTAACCACCCCCTCCAAAACCTCTTAAAAAAATCCTTAGATTTTTTTTGAGTGTCACTATTTCTTTTTTTTCCTTCTTTTCTTTTCTTTTTTTTTAGAGAAAAAGAAAATTCATAGTTCCTAAAGCAACAGAAAAAAAAAAAAAGAAAAAGTTTTTTTTTTGTGACGATGGCTCAGGGGTTTCCTTCAACCCAAGGAAGGAGCTGGTGTGAATGTGTGATGAATAAAAATAAGATAAAATAAAAATAATAAAAACCCAGCCGAACTGAGAACTGCACACTACAGCAATGCATGAGGTAATAAATAGGTTGACTTGGACCCCAGGGTAAGACCCCGCCTCCCGGGGAGGGGGGGCACGCCTATCTTGTGGTGGTCCTCACAATCCATTTTTCTGAATGTCCAAAACCTTACAAATTCAAGTGTTCCTTGGTTTTCCCCTGTTTTATTAAATTTGCTTTATATTTATATTTATATATATATGTATGTATGTATATATATCTATATTTTTTCCTCTCCTTTTTTTTCCTTTCTTTTTCTTTCTTTCTTTTCTTTTTTTTTTTGGCGTTAATGTGGCACCATTGTGGATCTCTACCCTCCCCCACCCGCATTTTCGCCTTTCTGGCCCCTGCCATGGTTGGCTGCCAGGACCCCCTACCCTGTGAGGGGGGAAGAGCTTGGCACCTCCTGCAGGGGGGAGGGGAGGAGGCGTGGGCGATTCCAAGGAGCTATTGTGGGTGGGCAGCAATGCGATGTGGTAAATTAAGGCAAGGCGTTATTTGAGGTAGAGGATGTGGGGGGCGGCGCAGACAGCCCCGTGGGCCCCGCCTGGCTGCCCCCACTGTTGCTGCTGATTCCGCTGGCTCCTCCTCTGTTGCCAGTGTTGTTGTTGTTACCTGTACCCCCACTGCCACCACCTTTGCTGGCTGCTGAGGGGGGTGTGGGGGCCGGTGGCTGGGCAAAGAGCACTCCTGATAGGAGAACAGGAGAGAAACAAGTCACTGAGGGTTGGGTCCCCAAGCAGATGTCACCAGAAATAACAAGCTTCTTGACTCTTTCCAGGCAAAGACAATCCCCCTCAAAAAAAAAAAAAAAATCCATCCCTAGATCCACCAGACAGGAATGGCTCTGACCCCCTGGGACTGTCCACCAAGCAAACCAGGCTGTACTGCGTCAGGAGCGCCTCCCAGTGGCTACTGTGAGTCAGGGCCTAATTCCACTATGAAGGAAACTAGGTGGGGTGCAGTGGCTCCAGCCTGTAATCTCAGCTACCTGGAAGGCACAGATCTGGCTTAAGGCTCAAGCATACAAGTTCATGAGACTCCTCTCAAGCAACAAACCAGGTGTGGTGTTCATGCCTGTCATCCTAGTCATGGGAGAAGTGTACTTAGGAGCATCACGGTCAGAGGCTGCCCTTAAGCAAGCATGTGAGAAAATATCTACAGAATAACTAAAGCAAGTCAGGCACTGGGTGGCTCATGTCTGTAATATTAACTACTCTGGAGGCTGGGATGTGAGGATCGAAGTTTGAAGCCAGCATGGACAGGAAAGTCTGTGAGACTCTTATCTCCACTAAACTACCAAAAATAACTGGAAGCGGAGCTATGGATGGGTCCAAGTGGTAGAGCATGAGCAAAAGAAGCTTAGGGACAGCGCCCAGGTCCTGAGTTCAAGCCCCAGGACTGGCACAAAAAGAAGAAGCCAGGCGCCAGAGGCTCACACCTATAATCCTAGCTACTCAGGAGGCTGAGATCTGAAGATCACAGTTCAAAGCCAGCCCTGGAACAAAAGTCCATGAGACTCTTATCTCCAATAAACCACTCAGAAAAACGGGAAGTGGAGCTGTGGCTCTAGTGGTAGAGCCCTAGCCTTGAGTTGAAGAGCTAAGGGACAGCGCCCAGGCCCAGAGTTCAAGCCCCATGACCAACAACAACAACAAAAAAAAAGAAGAAAAAGAAAGAAAACCACTTGCGAAAGGAGAAAGAATACACAATAGAGATGACTGTGCTCCTGCTCCTTTTAGTGCCAGTGGCTCCCCTCTCCCTGAGCCCCATGCCTGGGCTCCAGCAGGCAAGAGCTGGGTCCATCCCACGGGCAGCCTGGCCTCCGGTCCCTACCTGTGTACATGATACCATTGATTTCCACCGACATGCTAATACTGTTGCTGCCGTTGGTGCTGGTCAGGCTCATGGCAGAGTCCTGGCGGTTCTCAGAGGCTGCTGGGAGAGAAGGGAACAAGAACAGGGCCATTTAAGAGGACAAATGTTTTGTGGCAACTTCCTCCTTTGGGTGTCTCAGTCACTTGGCTTTGTTTAGTTTGAGAGATTTGCCTCCTCTCTCCCCACCAGATTCTGGGTTCCACGTCCAGCACTGCTAATAAATCAGGACTTATTTAGCCCCATGCCAACTGGCTTACATCTTGTAATTGTAGCTACTCAGGAGGCTGAGAATCTGGAAGATTCTCTTGGTTTGAGGTCAGCTTGTGCAGAAAAGTCCCTAATAATAACCAGTCAAAAGCAGAATGGGAGGCCTGACTAAAGTGGTAGAGTACCAGATTAACCAACTCTTTAAAGCGAAGTCCTGGGGGCTGGGAAGGTGGCTCAGTGGTAGAGTGCTTGCCTTGCATGCATGAGGCCCTGGGTTTGATTCCTCAGCACCACATAAGCAAAAAGAAAAAAACCGGAAGTGGCGCTGTGGCTCAAGTGGTAAAGCGCTAGCCTTGAGCTGAAGAGCTGAGGGACAGCGCCCAGGCCCAGAGTCCAGGCCCCACAACGGGACCCCCCCCCCAAAAAAAAAAGCACAAAGTCCTAAGTTCAAGCTCCATGGAAACAAAAAATGACATTTCCTTTCACCTGAAGGAATTCTATCTGTGGGTTCTACATCTTTGAATTCAACCAACTGGGGATTGAAAATATTCAGAAAGACAATTATATCTGGGGCTGGTAGCATGGCTCACATAGAAGAACATCTGCCGGCTGGGTGCTGGTGGCTTATACCTGTAATCTAAGCTACTTATCAGGCTGAGATCTAGGGACTGAGGTTCAGAGCCAGCCAAGGCAGGAAAGTCTGTGAGACTCAGTTCCAATTAACTGCCAGGAAACCGGAAGCAGTGCTGTGGCTCAAAGTGGTAGAGCACTAGCCTTGGGCAAAGCGCTTGGGCAAAAGAGCTCATGGACAGTGCCCAGGTCCTGAGCTCAAGCGCCATGACCAAAAAAGAAAAAAAAAAAGAGCATCTGCCTGGCATATCCAGGGCACTGGACTCCAACCTTAGTATTAAAAACAACAACAACAACAAACCAAGTAGCTTCTGAAGAGAACATGTTATTAATCCCTACACAATACAGTGTAACAACTCTGTGCACACAGCCAACATTGTATCAAGTTCAATGAGCCAGCTAAATAAATATGTGGTACTCAGGTCTTATGCAAATACAACCTGATGCTGGTACTGGGCTTGAACCTAGCTCTTATACTTAGCTTTATCCACACAAAGCTGGCACACTTCGAGCCACACTTCCACTTCCAACTTTTTGCTGGTTAATTAGAGATCAGAATCCCAAGAACACCCCCGCCCTGGCTGGCTTCAAAAGTGCACTCTTCAGGCCAGGCGCCGGTGGCTTACACCTGTAATCCTAGCTACTCAGGAGGCTGAGATCTGAGGATCATGGCTCAAAGCCAGCCCCGGCAGGAAAGTCTGTGAGACTTTTTTTTGTTGTTGGTCGTGGGGCTTGAACTCTGGGCCTGGGCGCTATCCCTCAGCTCTTCAGCTCAAGGCAAGCACTCTACCATTTGAGCTGTACAGCGCCACTTCCAGTTTTCTGGTGGTTTATTGGAGATAGGAGTCTCACAGTCTTTCCTGCCCAGGCTAACTTTGAACCGTGATCCTCAGATCTCAGCCTCCTGAGTAGCTAGGATTACAGGCATGAGCCACCAGCGCCCTGCTTTCTGTGAGACTCTTATCTGCAAAAAACCACTAGAAAACCAGAAGTGGCGCTGTGGCTCAAGTGGTAGAGCACTTGCCTTGAGCTGAAGAGCTGAGGGACAGTGCCCAGGCCGAGTTCAAGCCCCATGACAAAAAAAATAAAAAAAGATCTCAGCTTTCTGAGTAGCTAGGATTATAGGCAGGAGCCACCAATGTCCAGCTAATCCTTCACATTTTTGAGACAGGGTCTCCTTATGTAGCTCAGGCTGCTGGAAACTCAATTTTCCTGCACCAGCCTCCTGAGTGCTGACATTAAGGCATGCCCTACCATAACGATGCCAATCACCTGATATTAAATTCCAATAACTTGTAGATCCCCAGTGGGATGGAACTGAACGGTTTTGGGTTGTTTTTTGCCAATCATGGAGCTTGAACTCAGGGCCTGGCCACTGTCCCTGAGCTTCTTTTGCTCAAGGCTAGCACTCTACCATTTGAGCTACAGCACCACTTCCAGCTTTTTCTGTGTATGTGGTACTGAGGAATTGAACCCAGAGTTTTTTCATGCATGCTAGGCGAGCACTCTACCACTAAGTCACGTTCCCAGCCTGAACAGCTCTTTATGTGAATTTACTAGCCCTACCTGTTGCTGTTCCTCCCCTGTATCTTTTCTTTTTTCTTCCTAGTTTGCCCTTTTTTTGGGGTCTTATTGATTTGGTTTTAGGATGGCTCTCAAGCTCTTATTTTGTCTTCTACAAAGGAGACACAGAGGGCCTGGGCAGTGAGTGGTACCTTGGCTGTTGATACGGATGCTCATGGGCAGCTGGGCTGTCATGGCCAGGAAGTTCTGCTGTAAGGCTCGCTGCATGAGCCGCTGGTGTTCATCTGCCACCAGGGCCATCTTCTTTTCAGGAGGCTCCCCAGACTCCAGTTTCTCCCGAAGTTGCTCGAGGGCGGCGGCCTGGGCTGCCACGGCTGCTTGGGCTGCTGCTGCTTGCACAGCAGCTGCTTGAGCTGCCACCACGGGGTGGCCTGCCAGGGACACAGGCAAGCGGCCCGGGACTGTGATAGGAAGGGCTGAATCCTCCTCTAGATAGAAGAAAAGCAGGCGGTTGGAGAGGCCGAGAGGGCCTGGCCCCCACTTCTACCCAAGGCATGAGGGGGACAGACCGCTCTTCTGCGGAGGAAGTGGATGGGTGGATGAGGAGGAAGTCAGGCTGTCTGAGCCAGAGCTGGTGCTCACACCTATCATCCCAGCTACTCAGGAGGCTGAGAGCTGAGGATCACAGTTTGAAGCCAACCCCGGGCCAAAAAGTCCATGAAGACCCTTGACTCCAATGAACTACCAGAAAAGCCAGAAGTGGAGCTATGGCTCGAGTGGTAGAGCATCAGCTTTGAGCACAAGAGCTCAGGGACAGCACCCAGGCCCTGAGTTCAAGCCCCAGGACCAGCAAAATAAATAAAGAAATCAATAAAGACTCCCTTCTTCTTGGGCTAAAAAAAAAAACAACCCCATGATTCAGATGTCCTACTCTGACCCCTGCTCTCTTTTTCTCCCTGACTATTTCCGCCCGCAGTCATGTATAACATTGCTTCTACTTGCTGGGCTCTTTGCTATAGGCTTCTGCAGACTCCATGCCCATGCCTGCAAGCTTTTGAGTCTGGAAATCTGCTTTTGACTCGAAGGAGCCCCCTGCAGTCATGGATTTGCCTTCCATCTTTGTAGATCTATCTCTCTTGACACTGTGGCCAGTGGATCTCATCAGCACCTATCTTGTCCATCATTGTCTTCTCCCCTCCCCAGTGTGAGGCTTTGACATGGCTGATGCTTAACTACCATTACAGTAGCATCTGCTGTTGCTGTTTCTAGGTTAGAAAGGACTCAGAGGCTGAGTAGGAGAAAGCCTGCCATCAACTGCTAACGTCTGTCACGGATGGGGAGTTTACCAGCACACACTGGGGTATGTTTTACACCAAAGACCCTACAAACTCCACAAATATCCAGTAACCAGCTCAGAAAAAGGGCAGTGACTTTCCCCAGGGGTGCCTAGCAATCGATTTACATGGTTTAAGGTTCAAAATGATAAATACTAGGACAATTTCCACAAGTCTGCCTGAGCCAGTGTGTTGAGGATTTCAAAGCTCAGAGGGAAAGAACACAGTGATCAACTAAGAACATCTGTCATGCTCCAGAGATGGGGGCTACAATTGATGAGTATCCAGATTAGGAAAGGATACACAGTACTGTCAATTCAGCACCTAATTAGCGATGTCTGCCATGGCACTTGATATAAAATGTCTGCCTTGGCACTGAACTGGGAAATAAACACTGATTGATGATTGTCTACCAGGTGCAGACATGGGATTGGAGAGGTGGTAACTGATTGGTAATGCCTGGACAGGTACATTAGTGATCAGCTGGAAATGACTGATTGGTAATGTCTGGATGGGTACAGTAGTGGTTAGCTGGAAATGACTGATTGGTAATGTCTGCATGGGTACAGTAGTGGTCAGTTGGAAATGATTGGTAATATCTGCTGGAAACCCTCTTTCCTGCTCACTTTGGGTTTATGGTTATGAGATTTATCCAGACCCAAGGTGGTCTGGCATCCAGTCCCAGGCCCCTAATAGCCCCTCACCTTTCTTGATCTTGGGGGCTGGGGTGATGGAGCTGCCATTGGTGCTGGCAGCCAGACCTAGGGAGGGCACAGGAATCTTGGGTGAGGACAGCATGCTATGGGCCCCACCGGGCGAATAGGCGAAGAGTGAGCCTCCAAAGCTCTGGCGCCGACCCTCCCTTCGGTTGCTGTCGATGGCGGCCTGTAGCTCGTTGGGGCTACTCAGGCCCCGCCTCTCACACTCATAGGGGTATAGATACTTCATATACCTGCAGAGAGAGGAGAGGGGTGGTGACTAGGCTGACCAAGGCTCCCATGGCCTTCCACCAAGCCCTGTGGTGTGGCACCATCCCGTCTCCCTGGGGCTTCTGTGCCTCTCTGCCTAACCATGAAGGGAGTGGGTAGCCAGCCCAGGAGGGAAGGCTGTCTGCTAATCCAAGAAGGGAGGTGGGGGGTGGGCACCGGTGGCTCACGCCCATCATCCTAGCTACCCAGAAGGCTGAGATCTGAGGATCATAGTTCAAAGCCAGCCCGGGCAGGAAAGTCCATGAGAGACTTCAATTAACCACCAGAAAACAGGAAGTGGTGCTGTGGCTCACTCAAGTGGTAGAGCACTTGCCTAGAGCTGAAGAGCTGAGGGACAGCGCCCAGGCCCAGAGTTCAAGCCCCACAACTGACAATAACCAAAAAGAAAAGAAAAAAGAAGGGAGGTGGTGGGCTAGCTCAGAAAGGGAGGCAGAAGGCTAGTCCAGAGAGGGTGGCAGGCTAGCCCAGGCAGGGAGGTGGTGACTCTCAAGGCCTTCCCCATGACCCACAGAACCCGAGTTCATAGTCTTTCCCCGGGGTTCCGAGTCTTCTGGTCACCCTCCCACTCCTGCCCATGCTGCCCCCGTCCGCCCCCCGCTCACTGCGTGCGCAGGGTGAAGGCAGCGCTGGTGATGGAGGTAGGGAGGTTGAGGCCTTTGGTGATCTCCCGCCACAGCTTCTTGTTGATAACTTCCACAAGGCCGCCCTTCTCTGTCACCAGCACATACAACATGAACAGGTCCAGCACCTGCTTGGCCATGATGGGGATCCGGTTGACGGGCGTGCCTGTGGGGAGGGGACGTGAGTGAGGCCAGCTGTTGCCGTGGGCGTTGCCGGGTCTGGTGAGCGCAGGCAGGGGCCTCTGGTGCACAGCTGGCCTGCGCTCTTGTACCCTGTTGGGGATATCCTGGGCCCTGCAGCGTGTCTGTTCCACGGAGGGGACCCTCAGTTGTGACAGCCGTACGTGCCCAGGTATATGGCCCAGCATCTCCGGGATGGGTGCCTCCTACAAAGCGCCCTACAGAGGTCGCTGCACTCCGGTCTACAGGAGCCTATGCGGACAATACAAGCTTCAAGGGAGGGGAGGGGGCAAGATGAGGAGGGGACAGCATGGCCATTTGGGGACATGCAGGGGACCCACAGGCCTTTGTTACTGCCCCCCTCCCCGTGTCTCTAACCACAACAGCTGCCAAAACAACACAGCCTTCAATCCCCAGGGCCCCTCCCTCCACATCCCTGTCCCCCAGGAGCTGTGCAAGCTCAGTGGGGGCAGGGAGGGTTGAGCTAACTTGGCTTTCAGTTTAAAGAACAGAGAATGGTGGGCCAGGCCTGGGAGGGAGGTGGTGGGCCTACCACCAAGTCAATGTCTGCTCTGCCCTGCCTTCAACTTCACTACCGCATGCTCGCTACTCAGCCTCCTGAGTAGCTAGGGTTACAGGTGGGAGCCACCATCCCCTGACCGTAGTGTTGTTAATGAGTGATGTATGCCAGGCGAGGTGCGGGGGACTCTGCATAGAACTCTGCAGTAGAGACCATAGTCAGTAAACAGATGGCTTCCTGAGCCCAGAATTTCAGACATGGAGGATGTTTGGGCCAGGCTTCTCCTGTCCTTAGGCCCAGGCTGTGCCCACCTCTGTTGAGTATGAGGGAAAGACAGAAGAAGCATGTACAAAGGCCCTAGGAAGTCTCAGTGAGCAGAAAGGCTGGGGGTGGGTGGGTGGCTCAGTGGTAGAGCGCTTGCCTAGCATGCATGAAGCCCTGGGTTCCATTCCTTAGTACCAGATAAATAGTTAAAGCCAGAAGTGATGTTGTGACTCAAGTGGTAAAGCAATAATAGCCTTAAGCAAAAGAAGCTCAGGGATGGTGCCCAGGCCCTTGAGTTCGAGCCCCAGGACTGACAACTTGTGAGTGGGTGATGGGAGGGAAAAACTGGGAGAGAGTGAGAGAGAGGTGACATTGTCCAGAAAGAAGTGTACTCTTCACCTGACTTACATAATCGTAACCCCTCTGTTTATCACCTTTATAGTAACAATTAAAAAAATAAAAGCCAGGCGCCGGTGGCTCCTGCCTATAACCCTAGCTACTCAGGAGGCTGAGATCTGAGGATCGTGGTTCAAAGCCAGCCTGGGCAGGAAAGTCCATGAGACTCTTATCTCCAAATAAAACCAGCAGAAAACCAGAAGTGGTGTTGTGGCTCAAGTGGTAGAGTGTGTGCCTTATGCTGAAGAGCTGAGGGACAGCGCCTAGGCTCAGAGATCAAGCCCCATAACCGCCCCCGCCCCCCACTCCCCTGCCAAAAAAAATTACCGTCTGGCTTCATGAGGCCTTGGGGCCTCAGTTTCCTGCCTTGAAAAGTAGGCTGGCAACTGCCATGCCCCCTCCCCCACAAATAGTCTAGGGGTTTAGGTGTAAGTCTCACCCTATGGTGGGTATTTCTGGGACCTCCTCCCAGCTCAACCAAGTGAAATAAAAAGGACATGTAGGAAAGAGAATAAGGGTGGGGAGCTGGACAAATTCTCAGCCCCAAAGAACACCTAAGGGGGAAAGAGTCTAGAAAGATAGCAGAGATTTTGAAGTGGGATTCTGAGGGAAGCACAGGAGTTTGTTAGTAGTGATGGACACAGATCCTGGTGACTCTGTGTGAAAAGAGGTTCAACTGAAGCATCTGGATCCCTGGCCTTGTTGACCACATGCACAGGAAACTCAGTTTTGGAACACCAGACTGGGCCACTGAGAGCAGAGCAATATGGTTCCCTCCAGGCCCCAGCTGAGGGGTCAGAGGGGCTCACATGCAGGTGTGGACCGATGATAAAAGAGACCAGGGTGATCTCTCTGGCCACACAAGGGGCAGCAGGCCTGGTCTGAGTTGGGGCCTGAGGATAAGATAGAGGGGCCTCCACCCAGGGACTGGACCTAGATGCCCCACCCCGGCACAGGAGGGGTTAACTAAGAGGCCACTGAGCTGGGCAGGGGGGTCTGGAGGCCACAGCCCCCCCCCTTTCTCCTTTCCCTTCCGGCCTGGCCTGGCGGCTGTGTTTACACAAGGCCAGTACAAGCCCAGGGAGAGGCAGGGGCGGGCACACAGCGGGCTGGGGCAGCCCCTGCGAGGGCCCCCAGCTACAAGCTGCTGGACCACAGGCTCCCCTGGGACTGGACTCTGTCCTCTCCACCCCTTCCTGCTCCAGGGGCCCCCAGGCCACAGCCCCGCCTTGGGCCTCAGTTTCCTGCCCTAAAAAGCAGACTGGTAACTACCCCAGTCCAGGGGTTGCCCTAAGCAGGGGAGAGAGGGCACCCTGGGATCCTCACACAATGGGCCAGGTCCTGGAAGCAAATGTTGGGAACACTGCTTATGGCCCTTCACACACACACACGCACACACACACACACACACGCACGCACACACACACACACACACGCACGCACACGCACACGCACGCACCCCTCCCAAGCTTAGTTTACTCTCATCATGAGGGACTGGGTGCCTGTCCTAGGCTTCAATTTCTCCACCACGACACACCTGTCTAGACTTGTCCTTGGCTGGTGTGCGCTGAGGGGTCACCCCATGGTTTCTCGCCTCTCGGGTGGCGGTGCCACCCCTGGAGGGACAAAGTGGGTCGAGAGGCAAGGTGGCTCAGCCGGTACGGTATGCTCAGTAAATGTGCAACACACCAGCAACCTTGCACTAGTGTGTGTCTGGGATCTCACTGGACCTTGAACTTGGGGGCACTAGTACACAGCAGGAACGAGCTGTAGCCTCTGTGCTGCCGATGGAGAAACTGAGGCTCATTAGAGGGAGTGGGGGCTAGGCCGGGCCTGGAATCTCAAACTGAATTAGCACCTGCAGGACCAACAAGCACAGGGCCTTGTAAGGTCCACCAGGTATTGGAACCCACTCCCCCAAAAAGGCTGGCCCTGTCCCTCACCTGCAGGCCACAGCTTTGGGGGGGCAGTACTGGAAGCAGGGACCCCCCCTTCTTACCCTGTAGGTATCTCAAAGTAGAGAGCCTAAGCTGGGTGCTGGTGGCTCATGCCTGGCATCCTAGCTACTTAGAAGGCTGTGATCTGAGGATCATGGTTTAAAGCCAGCCTGGGCAGGAAAGTTTGTGAGACTCTTATCTCCAAAGAACCACCAGAAAGCTGGGACTGGAACTGTGGCTCAACAGCACCCAGATCCTCTGTTCAAACCCAGGACTGGCAAAAAGAAAAAAGAAAAAGAAAGGGAGCCTTGAATTCTGGGATGGCTCTCCCTATCAGACTCCACATTAGGACCCTGCCTCCTCCATCAGACTGTCATCAGTATCTCACCTCCTCCATTAGACCCTATGGCAGGACCTCACCCTGACTCCACTATCAGACCTCATGGCAAGACCTTTGCTTCCCCCATCTGACTCCACATCCAGACCCTACTGCGGGCACACTTGGCAGACAGGAGACTCACCTCGCTTCTGCATGAAGCTGAACAAATCATCCAGAAACTCCTTCCTCTTGGGGTCCCCATCAAGTTCATAGAGCTGTGGAGAGAGGGGAAGGGGTCAGCGGAGGACAGGAGCCATGTCCCCATGACATGGGGTGACCAAGGGACTCCCTGATTTTCCCTGAGCTGTCGCAAAGCAGCCCATGAGGCTGATGATCGAGGGGTGTAAGTGGGAGCATCTGGGGTTGGGGAAGGACAGACAAAGCCCACAAATTCAAAGGGGAGGCGATGCAAATAACAAGAATCGATCCCCGCCTGGAGGCTGAAACTCAGTTCTGCAGCGGGGAGAGGGGGCAGACCACAGCGGCCCCCACCCCAAGCTAAGAGAGGTCCTTTCTGACTCTGCCAGAGCTTGGGGTCCCAGAGCCTCTGGGGGCTTGCGGCTGTCACCCCAATCCGCGTGCTGACACGTTCCCATCTCCATCACTACTAATTCTATCTGAAAGATCCTAATTCCAACCAGTTCCTTGGGCTTCTATCCTGTTTTTTGTTTGTTTGTTTGTTTTTGGTGCTGATCCTGGGACTTGAACTTAGGACCTGGGCGCTGTCCCTGAGCTTTTTTGCTTAAGGTTGGCACGCTACAGCACTGTAAGCCTCAGTTCCACTTCTGTGTTTTTGCTGGTTCATTGGAGACGAATCTCATGGACTTCTCTGCCCTGGCTGGCTTTGAACCATGACCCACAGATCTCAGCCTCCTTAGTAGCCAGGATTACAGGCATGAGCCACTGACTAGCACCCGGCTCCATGCAATCCTTAATGAGTGTGTGAGACTATTCAGCCTACCCTGACAGCAACAACCACCAGGCTCACACAGAGACAGATGCAGACCAGGGATGAGAAACACACAGCACTTTTGCTCCTAAGAGACAGATGAGGAAACTGAGGCAGGGCAAGTATGAAGCCAGAGCTGGGAATGTGGTGAACCTTTATCCCTGAGCTCCAACTGGTTCTGGTCCTAGCAGCTGAGTTCCTGGGGTCTCATCACTGCCTAGAAAGTGAGCCTTCAAAGCTGGGCACCAGTGGCTCACCCCTGTTATCCTAGCTATTCAGGAGGCTGAGCTCTGAGGATCATAGTTCAAAGCCAGCCTGGGTAGGAAAGTCCTTGAGACTCTTTATCTCCAATAAACTACCAGAAAATGGGAAGCGGCGCTGTGGCTCAAAGTTGTAGAGCCCCAAGTTCAAGCCCTATGACTGACAAGAATTAAAAAAGAAAGTGAGCCTTCAGTATGGCAAGGCTGTGGCCAGGGGGAGGCGTGGGAGGGGGCTGGGGGCCGGGCTTTTGGGATCAGCAGCACACACACACACACAGGTTCTGGAAGATGAGCAGGGGCTGGTGAGCTCAAGGGGAAGCGGGCAGAGGTAATTAGAAAGTGAAGATCAGGGAGGGGGCCAATTTACTGAGGAAGGGCAGAGCTAAAATACCAGGCTTCAAATTAAGCTCTTAGGAAAGCAGGCCTGCCCACTGTGGGGGGTCTTGAAACCACCAATTAGGGCCTCAGCTAGGATAATCAGTCATTAGTCCTGTCCCAAGTGCAGGGGCCCCAGGGCCTGAGCTCAGTACTGACTACTGGGACATTTCCTTGCCACCCTTTTGCTAATCTGCCCCTTGTCGGGCCTCAGTTTCCCCATCTGTGTAATGGAGACAAAAAGAGGAATGGGGTGGGGCGGAGGGGGGAGAGTGGACTTTCCAGAAAGAGAGGGCAAGAGGAGTCCAGGCCTTCTATCCTGGGTGGTGGAGTCTGTGCAGAGGCCAGCTGCTCGGGCCTTTGTCTGTTCCCCACCCCCGGCCAGCACCAGACTGGCCTGCCCGCATTCCTGTGCTGATTTATGGTGGCCTGAGAGGCCCATCCCCCTTGAGCTGCCTGAGGGGTGGGGCCTGCAGGTAGACCCAGCTGGCCATGCAGGACCTGCCTCTGGGCGTGCACACACTGTACACATGCATGCGCGTGCACACACACACACACACACACACACACACACACATGGTGGCCTGATGTGTCCACCCCAGCCGGCTCCCTCCACTGCGCTAGCCCGGGGCTTTCCTCCGCTTTTCATCCTTAGAGCCTGTGGCTTCATGCTGGTGTCTGTGATTGTTTCACACTGGGCCCGGCATACAGCAGTTACTTAATAAATGTTCCTCAAACCGACCCCGACACTCGCTCTCTCAGCTGCTGCAGGAAGGGCAGAGAGGGAAGTGACATTAGATAGAACTGTGGGGGACAGGCCCAAAGCCACCGCTGCCTGGGCCAATCAAGGTCCCATCATGGAGCCGGATGCTGGTGGCTGACTCCTATAATCCTAGCTACTCAGGAGGCTGAGATCTGAAGATCATGGTTCAAAGCCAGCTTGGGCAGGAAAGTCCAGGAGACTCTTATCTCCAATTAATCACAGAAAAAGCCGGAAGTGGAGCTGTGGCTCAAGTAGTAAGAGTGCTAGCCTTGAGCAAAAAAGCCAAATGATTGAGCATGACGCTCTGAGTCCTAGTCTCTGTACGGGTGCGGTGTGCGTGCACACACATGATCTTGTCAGGCAGAAGCCTGACTGTTTTGGGGAGAAGGGTCTTTTGGGGATGTCTTCAGGTAAAATGGGAGTGGGGTGGAACTGCATCCGCAAGCTCGGGAGGATGCAGAGACAAATGTAAATGTGGTTATAGAGGGAGGAACTGGGGTGGTGGCCCCAAGCCCAGGATACTCCAAGCCCCAGGTGCTAACTGAGGCAGGACAGGCCCTTCCCAGCCCAGATGGACATCCACCTCCAGGCCCAAGGCCTGGACGCCCCAGGCCGTTCCCAGGCCCATAGCCCACTGAGATCTCCTGGGTGGGTCCCTTCTTGCTCAGTTTCCCCATCTCTCCCCCAGAATGTAAAGGATAGAGATACAACAGCTTTACTCTGAACACCTAGAACCATATGGCCTCCAGTAGGGAAACTGAGGCTGGGGCAGAAATAGCTGGATCAATTTAGTTACCCAGGAAAGATGAACGGAGCCATTAAACCCCAAGCCAAATGGTGGATGAGGGGCCAGTGGCAGGGCATCGATGGACCCCTGTGGATCTGGGCCATTGACTCCAGGCCATAAAGAAGGGGAGACTCGTGGGGGGCCCCCAGCTGCTGGTGGAAGAGGCAGCTTTAATGTAGAAAGCTGACAACAAAGCTGGGTAGTAAAGGCTGCCCAGCTTTATGGGGCTCTGGGCCCCAGATCCGCTCCCCTGCAGGGTGTATCCCGCCCTGGACAGCTGGCCAGGGCCTCATATGACAGTGTCCAGGCCGCCCTAATCTTGTGGGGGAAAAGCAAAGGTGATATTTGTGGGCTATGTCCTAAGTCAAGCCCAGGCCTGGTACTGCCTTGGTTCTCAGACCAAGGGGGAACCCAAGTCTTTCAAAACATGGGTAATTGGTGGCTCATCTGCCCTACAGTCTCAAACCCTGCCAGGCACTGGTGGCTCATGCCTGCAATCCTAGCTTCTCAGGAGGCTGAGATCTGAGGCTCACGGTTTAAAGCCAGCCCAGGCAGAAAAATCTGAGGCCCAACTAGCCGGCAAAGGAGTTATAAGTGGAGGTACGGCTCAAGTGATAGAGCATCCATCGAGCAAAAGAAAAAAAGCCAAGTGTGAGAGAGAGCTCAAGCCCCAGTACTGGTGCACTTGCACACATATGCACTTGTGCGTGCGCGTGCACACACATACACACACACACACACACACACACACACACACACACTCCCTGTCAGGGGACTAGGCAGAGGGCAGGACACGCTTCCCAGGATAGAGGTTGTCAGTCTGTGGACATCAAAATTGAGCCGCCTTCCCAGAGCCATCCATTTTATAGATGGGGAAACTGAGGCACAGATAGGGTGAGGCCAAGTGGACCCTCCCTCTCCTTTTGCTGAACCACAGGGACCTGGGAGCAAAGGGGCCATTCCAGTTGGTGGAGAATGACCCACCCCCCGCCCCCCCGCCCTACAGCCTTCCCTGGCTCCCACCAGTCCACCCCCTCCCATCTGCTCTAACCTAGTGGAGCTGCTTTTTGAGCAAAACACACACCCCAGGGCCTTTACACTGGCTGTAGCCTCTGCCCTAAATGCAATTCTGATTCTCTGCAGGGCTTGCTCGTCTCCCTCTCAACCCTCCATGCTTTTTTCCCCCTTTCCTGCCTAGCATTCTGCACCAATGAGAGTCACCTGGTCCCCAGCCTCTCCCCTCCCCCCTTTGCTCAGGCCACTCCTGGGGGTGAGGGTGTGGGGAGACAATAGGGGGACAGAGAACAGTGCCAGCCCATTACATAAAGCAGAACCCAGAGCTCAGGTGTGGCCAGGGCTAGGTGTGGCCTTGGGTAGAGGAGGAAAAAGTGAGGACCACTCCCCCCCCACACACCCCAGCCCTGAAGGACAAACAGTTCCTGGGTTGGGGTTTTATTTGGGGGGGGGCAGTTATGTGGTTGATCTGGCTGATCAATGTCCCCAGGGCCATTTGGGAGTGGGCAGGGCATCATCAGCTGGGTCTGGGGGGTGGGGGAAGTCTTGGGAACTCAATCATGGCTTAGAAAATGCCTTAGAGCTTTCAAGAAAATCCACAAAACCAACTAGGACCAGGGTGGGGACTGAAGAGAGAAGGAGGGGAGAGGAGGGGAAGGGAAAGGAGATAGGACGGGAAAGAAAGGGAGGGGAGGGGAGAGGCAGCTCTTCCCTAGGCCAGGCTGGACCCCAGACCAGCTGCCCAGGGTCACATGACTGCTGTGTTTGGCCCCAGCTGGGCCCCACCTGGGCAGCAGCCTCAGTGGTGTCTGTAGATTAGGGGCCCAGGCTATAAAGAAACGGCCTTCCGCCCACAGGGCCCCCTGGCAGGACCTTTGCTCCCCCAGGGAGGGTCTGTCCTGGTCCCCTGCAGTCTCCCCATGACTCCAAAGTCCACAGGGCCCCACCTGAAGAGGAGGTACCCAGTCGTTGGGGAGGGTGGACCCCAAGAATGAGGACCTTCCAGTTGGGCACGGCCCTAACAGTCTGCAAGAGATCAGGAAGACAAGGAAAAAAAAAATCAGGTA